CAGCATTCCAGAGAACAAGCAGAATGAAAACCATGCACATTAGTCATTGAAAATTAAAATGCTTTCCGTATTATTATTATACACCAGGTACAAAAGTGTACTGTCACAGACGCGAGCAAACCACAAAAGTCCACATTGTGAGAATTTTACATTTTTACACTCTTTCAAAGTCCTATCAAAGATGCACCTTTCAGCATCACCAAACATTTTCAAAATGCTATTTACTGGTGGGGGGTTAGCGGGTGCTCTATTGTGGTTTGCTTTTTTCTTTCCTATAAAAGAAAAACTAAGCTTATCGTCCTTCTCTCTCCTTATCCTTTTTTGTGTTTGTTACTCCTCTTGTAACACTTCTAATCTTTGGCATTTATAATATGACCTTATTCTGTTGCAAGTGCCGTAAAACTTTTATTTTCCTAAAACTAAGCTGAACTAAAAGCAGTGTAATGCTATGGCCAAGGCTTACAATGTTATCTCTTTTCGTGATTATTGATAAGAAAAACACACTACAAAAATGTGTTGTTATTGTTGTTTTTTTGGGGTTTTTTTTTATCTCTGGTGTAAAAAATATCCAAACGGACTTAAGTGGATTGTTTGCGACACCGACGGTATAAATATAGAGGCACCGGCGTCTGTGATGTCTCGGTTAGGCGGTTCACCATCGCACACAGAGGATGTGTGTTCGATTCCCACGTGGGGAGAATTTAAAGCGAATATAACGTAGTTTTAGTTTGTATCTCTATATTATTTCTGCCCGGGTGTTGTATCTCCCTCAGCTTGGGTTGTTTGGGGGTACTTTAAAACAGACGCACAACTCCCTCATTTATACATATTTTTTTTTTGGTTGTGTTTTTCTTTATCTAAATCTTTTTTTAAAAAGGCAGGGAACCAATGGGATCGGGTAGGGTGTAAAGAGGATGAGGTTTGTCGGTACCGAAAATCGAGATCGCTTAGATTATAAAGAAAGCATAGTGATTGAAAAGATGGACAAACATGCATTGAATGGAGCTATGGTCATGGTAAATTACAGTAGTGCACACCCAGCCCAATCTGATCTTTTTTTCAAGTTATTATCCGCCAGAAGTTTCGTTTAGGTATTCGTTGAGTTTCACTTTTTATCGGAATATTGTGTTTCGTCATTTTGAAAATGTTTGTATGTTTTATTTGATTTTGGTGACGTGAGAGAAGTAGTTTTAAGGAGAAGAAGTCCAGGTGGGGCTGAAACTGCAAGCCCCCCTCCACACGACGCCCTTGCAGGGAACAACATGCACACTATAAAGTATTCCGATTCGTGTTTTGCTTTAGTAAAGATTTTACGGTGTTTGCAACTGCATAAGGTCATATGAGCGCCAGAAGATTAGAGGTGTTACAAGAGAGTAACAAACATAAAAAAGAAGAACGGGAAATAAGAAGGACTATAGATGTTTGATAGGAAACAAGAAGCAAACCACACCAGATCATCCACCAACCATCCATTCGTGTTTATGACTTAGACGGCTGAGCACAAAAATTGACTACATCCACTTTTCACAGTTTCGAGAAAAACGAGTCTGACATTTTGTCGAATTTGAAATCTTTGTAAAATAATAATAGATGAAAAGTTATAATCTTGATACAGAATGAAGATACGGAGTAGTTATTTACAGAGGTAAAAGAGCGGCTTAAAATCTCAATAATAATAATAATAATGCTACTAATAATACTACTACTACTACTACTACTACTACTACTACTACTACTACTACTACTACTACTAATAGTAATAATAATAA